TCTGCTTTATCGCCATCTCTTGTCACTGGTTAACACGCCTACTATAGGCGGGGTGAGGATCACGTGATGAGGTGAAGTCTTAGAAAATCGTAGCTACCATCACTTGAATAGCTACATCGATTAGCTACATAGATAAAAAACATCCATTATGAAATTGACGCATTAATGAGGCGATGCGCTTCGCCACACTACCTTTCCATATTTACATTATTGATGAAGAATTTTGTCCAGGATGGCGTTCCATAAGTACTTTGGAGTTATGTCCTTAGCAATACTCTTCTCTTTTGTGATGATTAATGGTCACACCTCACTGACCAATGTTGTACCTACCGCAACTATTCTATTTATAAACTAAATGTCCAGTTGAAACACCCGTGAGTCTAGTCTGTATATCCAGAAAGTGTCTATGGTATATGGGGCATAGCCTGAATTATAGACATGATGCGGGGAATCATGTTTTTCTTCATTTTGTTTTTGCCCAACGTAGTTTCTTGTGAGTTTAGATTATAGATCAATCATAAAAGAAACTGATTTGTACTATTTCTACATCATCAGGTACAGTGCTATCATTCAGTCAGTCCTCTCCATCATATGATATTGTATGTCCTGGAGATACACTAGTATTCACTTGTATTACTAGCTATCAAGGAGGAATGCAGCTACGTGTTGCATGGAATATTAATGGTTTAAACCGTGTCCTAAACAATTATGTCACAGTTAGACACAATGTGAATGGCTTTACGATTAGAATAACTAAGATCAATAATGCTACTAATGCTACATCAACAATAATAAGTACTGCTAGCAGTAAGTCTGATCCATTACATCATCATGGAAGTGCTATTAACTGCTCTGGAGATTTAGTTAGTTACAGTAATGCATTAACAGTACACATTGCAGGTAAGATACATCATGAACCATATGTATCATAATACTGTATCTATGTATAGGTGTACCAGTATCAGTTATTAATATAACGATAATACCAATTAATAACAATACAGTATTGATGAACTGGTACTATGAAAAGAATGATGAAGTACACTGTATTCAATATTATAATATTACAATAATCAGTGATGATAATATTAATGGACATATGATCAGTAATGAATCATCAGCAACTATTCCTTCTCTTATTATTGGTACTAATTATTCATTTATTATTATTCCTATTGACACTATTGCAAGAGAAGGACCTCCTTCATCATTAATACAGTATATATGGAATGGTAAGTACTATACACACACACACACACTCATTGTATTTGTTATAGTACCAGCTCAAGTTGTTAATATTAGTTGGGATCAGATATCAACTGATAGTATTACAATATGGTGGAATATCAATGAAGTATGTTAAGATATTATTAACTATAAATCATTATTATTATTAATAGGATGCTACATTACATTATCCTCCAGTACATTACATTGTTAGTGTACACAATATTACTATTAATACAACTGATACTAATGTAACTATTAATGGACTATATCCCAATAATGAATATACTGTATACATAAAACCAGTTAATGCTATTGGGGAAGGGCAGTTGATTTCAGGTTTGTTTATTAATGACTAAAGTGTATAATAACATTTAATTTATGTTTATACATGCAGTTGATATAACTAAACAACAGTCTAATTCAAAACAATCTACTTTAACTAATGTACCTGGTGAGCATGCATAACATACTATGTGTAATAATGCATGTGTACATTAGTAGTTTCAGTTACTGAAAGCTCATCTGATGCTATCACCAGCAACAGTAACAACAGATCCACTTTAGCATCAATATCTCAGACAATCATTGATAATACATTAGTATTAGAAACTTCAAGCAGCATAGAACCGTCAACAACATCATCAAATAGTGGATCTATAAATGAAAACTTGTTGTTTTCAATTTTTGGTGTCATTGGTGCTATAGTAATTACATGTATCATAGCAGTCATTGTAATTCTGGCCTGCATTATGTATAGAAGGAAAAGTAACAGTAAGTATGAACACCATGTACATATTAATTACATTATTAATATGCTGTATAGGTGTGAAGAAAAAAGAAAGGTGGTGAATTAATATTATTTATTTTTATTATTAATAATTATTATCATAGGAATACTGACAATTACACAGAAGTTGAGGTAAACTTTAATCTTCTTTTTACACATTAATGCCTTAACTATTTTAGTTGAGAAACATGAACAATCATGAAGTAACACACAAATTCCTATAACATATCATTAATGCTATTTATAGCTACAACCAACTGGAT